AGTTACTGTAATTGGTTTAATTGACCAGAGATCTGCTAGAGACACGCGATGAATGCAAAGAATAATATAAGGTTTCCTCAAGATGACTTTTTCATCTGAATGTTCTATGCAAATTCTCCAACTAAATGCGAGGAACTGCAGTGCGCTTGCTTTAAGCAAGCGCACTGTCCAAGTTTTCAAAATGTTACAAGTTTTGGATACTGTTTCACAACCCAACCCTCCTTTTACAATAGTCCTGCATAGCCTCCCATTTCACAAAAACAAAAAACAAAAACAAAAAACATTGAAATGTTAAATAACTTTACATTTATTTACTACTTTGGAATGCTCATTCCCACAAAAATACAAAAAGAACACTCGTTTTTGTTTGCCACGTTAAAAATGATGAAAAAGTTCAAAGGGTGTGATTGCTTCTGCATTACAAGCGATTTGAGCAGCATTCAGGATTGAGATGGCTCGTGTCAGTCTCCTCACTTGCTCATTTCTACTTCAAAAGCTGGTTACTCACGTACCAAATTTTCATGTCAGAGAAGATTAGGAGGGAGAACGTGACTTATGCTTGTGAGAAGACTAATATAAGCCCAAAGACATTAAGATGCTGGCAGCACCCTTTAGAAATGAGCAAAAGACTATAATTACTGTTTCAGAGAGAGAGAGAGAGCTATCTAAAAATACCCTGGTGGGTAAGTAAAGGGGTGCTAGGAAGACAGGCGCTCACATTGCAACATTGATTGCAAATGAAATCGGTGTTTTTAAATGTTTTCCTGACTTTTTCTTTTGTTAAATTGCAGGACAATAGGCCATGTAAAAGCCGGCAATGAGAGCTAAAATAAATGAAAATGGAGTGAGTGAAAGTATGAGGTGTGGCTCGGTGGAACGCAGTGAGATTCAGGTCAATGAATAAATCTTTACGTTGTGTCTGCTGACCTGCGGGTCGGGTTTTGTAAGCCTATTAGAAAGAAATACAGGGTTGCAGTTTATAAATAACTTAAGAAAATCTCATGCAAGGGACTAAGCTTTCATTACCATACCACATTTCACCTCCTTTACCCTACTTTCCGTCACTTCCTCATAATACATGATTCTGCATTTTAATCACACCGTGTGTGCTGCAGGTGCACTGCATGCCTCAGGCTAAGACAACAGCAATTTCTGAGTGACCTATAACGCTGCACGGATTTAAGAGGTGATTTGAGACTGAAACGAAAAGCTGGAAAATTAAGAAGGGGGGGGGGGGGGGGGAAAAAAAGTAAAATTAAAAAAAAAAACATATTTCCCCCCAGCGCTCCGCGGGGAT